TTAATGTGGCTTAAAGCAGCCCATTCCGTAACAATAGGCTGCCAAGTATTGCAATGGAAAAAAACGGACTTGCACTTTTTTAAGTGTAATAGTAGGATCATGTCAGTTTAACATGTGCAATCTATAGCCAAGAAATAAGGATATACCCATTATACGAGTGAGGACCAAAGTCTATTATCTATTTGCCTCTTATACAGTACCATTGAGATCAACTACCTACAATTATTCTTCTTTGCTGTCATAGATCATACACACAGTATGTTATCTCAGATGGAAACAATTACAAAAAAGACAGAAGAAATCTAAGTAAAATACTGATACAGTTACACCGAGAAAATGCCAGTTATAACGAGCCACAAATCTTTTGAAGATTATGCCAGCAAAGTCTTTGTAAAGTAATGATTGGGATTCGCTTATACAACATACTTGTCACAAGATATGGATCAGCCTTACATGTCTGTGATTCCTTGATCCCAAATTAGTCTACATAGTAATTAAACTCGGAGGCATGGTGGCACACTACAGTACACACCAATGATAAAGACAACTGTCCAAGAAAACGGAAAAAAATATTACCGTATATATTAAACCGGTGTCTCCTAAATGAGCCCTCAAACCATAAGGATCTGCGACCAGTTGTGGCTCGGGATGTCTGGTCAATTAAAGCTTTTCCATACTGTACAACACAAGACACCCCCTCCACACTCCCCTACTATTAAAGTAAGGCTTAGTGTTAAGAGTTAAAATAAGAGTAAGATGTTGGTTACATGCTGGAGTGAGGATAAGATTTCAGGGTCAAAAGTTAAGTTTATTCGTTCGGGGGACATAAACCTGTGTTCAACCTATAATGATTATGTATTGGTACCACAAACCAACACAGTATCACTATGGCAGGCAACATACAGAATGTATGTGACCTGTAGTAAACTTTGATAATGTATTAAAACAGGTCATACCGGGGCTAAAAATCCCACAACAGACAACAAACAGTCCTTCTGAAAAATCCCAAATTTTGGGTTGTCACCAGAACAGAAATAGATGGTATATCATCCAATGGGGGCACTACTTCTGATGACCCAGCTGACCACCATGGATTTCCCTCACTTTGAAGGGATTTCTTCTCCCTTCCGGTTGTGGCTAGGAATTGAAGTGCAATCTCCTCAATAGGACACAGAGGGCAAAAACAATCTGACAAGGGCTATAACCCTTTTTGTACGCCATCCAAAACAAAAAAAAGTTTTATTTTCAGCTTCAATTTTACCTTAAAGATGAAATAAAAACCCTGCTCAGATATCCTAAGAGATCTTTTTCAGTGCAAGCTTGACTGTTCACTTTTTCTTCTAGAAAACCTCAAGCAAATAGGAAAGCACTAATTCTGAACATTAACTGTTGTTTTCCATTATCTGCCAAAACGTATGTTATATATCTTGCAGCAGCCACATCTCAATAAACAGCAGAACACATTTCTTCTTTGATTTCAGAATGGGCATGCAGGACGGCTGTGTCCATGAGCATACAGTCATTTATGGTATGTTGTGGTAAAGACAGAGTAAAAATGTGGCAGACACCTCCAGGGTAAACTACAGAAAGGGAAGCATTTTCCAGGCTAAAATAAATTCTTGTACAAGAGGTCATGAACTGAAAGCTTTAAGGGATGGAGTAGGAAGAAAGAGCAAACCAACCCAGAACATATAGGTAGTGCTAGAGCTGAAACATTTAGAAGATTAAACATAAATTACAGCAGAAACAAAGGGGGTGCTTGATGGATAACAGCAAAATAAAAAAATATAGAATTATTTTGCTGAACCTCTGTTAAGTATATTGTAATGCCCCCTCTATCTTAAACATGGTAGTCTGGAATTCAGACAATGAGAAATCTATAAAATGAGAAAAAAATATTGCCTTATATCTGAAACCTTGTTATTTTCATATTGCCAGGTCCTGAGGCTCTATGAGACTATATTGTTCCCACCTGTGACTGGTAAAGGTAGGAGACCACTGGGAAGAATGTTGCTATGGGCCATAAGGGGCTGCCAATATCATTAGTAAGCACTTTTGATACAACGCATTATGCTGTAACTGTAAGAGAGTACAGACTATTTCACAGTATATTTGAAACATTTTGCGCACAATCATGAATATTTATTGTGTTAGTTATCCACCATTAGTTTCCATTTTAAAAATATGGCAATGGAAAATGTAAAACCATGAATGTACCTGAACCATTAATAACATCAGGACAACAGATTACTATATTGATATGTCAGCCTGTAGGCATATTCCTAAATATGAAGCCACCGCTCCAAGCTCGCTCCTATGATGAACTACAATCTCAATACAAATTAGAAAACTAAACATAAGATTGTAGTCCATCACAGGAGTGAGCTTGGAGCGGTGTCTACTTTACAACAGACACAGGGACCATGGGGAACAAAAGTAGCCACCCTCCAGAAGGAAGGGCAGTGTTGGCATGAATTCAAATATGATTTGAGGATCTACAGCCGGGTGATACACAAACAAGCTAAATTTTTGCTAATAATTAAGGTACTTGAATGCATTTTTAAGATTTAGCTCCTGAGTCTAGTGTCACCTTTCAAGCAGCCCTTCTTAGCAGCAAATACTTACCTTCCTTTTCCTTCTCTGTCACTCCATTCAGCTGCCAAAAGCAAAAGATAGTCCTGTGTAAACTAAGAGTCACTGAAGCTGTAGCTATGGGCAACCACATACAGCACTGTATGGCCAAGTGCTAAATAGCATGGCATGTATAACAGATGTAGAACACGTGCAATGCATCACATCATAAATTATGAGAAACAGTGTGAATGTAGCCTTGTCGTCTTTTCTTAGGCAGACCCCAGTCCCTACAGTAAGTATGGCCCTATCTCCCTCTTAGTACAAGACATCCTCACATCCCAGATCTTGAAACGTCGCATCACTGTTATGTGATGCAGGTAAGCTTGAGGGGACAGGTGACACTAATGAGATCAAATCCTGAGAATGGAAAACAAATCTGAACAGCTGTAACAACACTGAAATAAAAGGAACATTATTTTATTAAAGGGACCAGCTTGTCACTAATAATTAAGACTGAAGGGAGGAAATTGCAAGCAACAGTTTGCCTTTCATAGACAGGTAGCCCCTCATACAGCACTAGATAGGCAGAGGAAATACTTTAGACATTTGTAATCCAGACACTACATTTAAAAAGCTAAAATAATAATTAGGCAGCTCATGATTGATGCCATTAATGTAATCACCACCGTTTAAAGAGGCCACTGGATTACATGTGTGAAGTCTCACTGATTAAAAATGGAAGTAGAAAAAGACACCTTAAATTTGCCCAGAAATGAAGAATTTGATGCAAGAAAATAACAAGTAAGTCACACTAGTCTGTCTGGTTTCTAGGTTCAAATGAAGGTTTAATTAATGCTCGAAGGAAGAATGTCTGTCCCAGTGTTGCTTGATTTAATACAACTGGCTGCTGTACACGATGCAGACATTGTGCTTTGGCCTAGCAATGGGGAGAACTCTACATTCTATTTTTTCTTCTTCTCTTTATGAGACACACAGAACAACTGAAGCATCATTTTAGTGATGTCTATCGTTTTCCACCACCCAAAACTGAAACAGTTGCAGGTGGTGGTCCTCTCTTTAACATGAATTTACAATTTCGCTTATTATTCTATATTTCTACCATCTTACATCAATACAAGTTTACACACAAAAAAAAACCTACATGTACAAAACAAACGCCATAATAGATTTCACCTTAGTCTTCTTGCCCGCCTTTTACTCTTTCTATTTTTTTGCTCTTTGCACTTAAAAGGGTCAGTCCACCTAAAACTAATATTCTGGGTTTTGGTAGATGCTGGAAGATTAAATCATCTGGCAGTTTCTTATATTTCTCAAGGATTGAACTACTGAGATATCTGCAATGCAGTCCACAGGTATGAACACCTACTGTTGTCATTATGAGAGGTCCAACTTTCCCATTTTATATCACTGTTAATGCCAGGGAGATCTGGGCAGCCCCTGTTCATTTGTAATACGCTCCCCTTCAATGTGCAGAAGACCAATTAGACTAAAGGTGCCCATACACCTTACGATTATCGGACGGAACTTTTCAGACGATGATCGAATAGTCGTACGATTTTCGTACGGCATCCCCATCCTGCCTCGATGATCGCAAGATTAATTTAGCCGTAATTACCAAAAAGCACCTGGACGAAATGCGGTAATTGATTTGCCGTATTTCCGTTAGCGCAAGCGCAGTGTAGATTGTACGACTTTTGACGGACGGAAACGCCAGCAACCTTACGACAATCGTACGATCTAGCAAAGTTTTCAAACATGCTTGACCGTCAAAAGTCGTACGATTGTACAGTACTGTCGGTCGGACACTGCAATGCACACATACGATTATCGGCCGAAAAGTCGATCGCATACGAAAATCGTACGATAATCGTAAGGTGTATGGGCACCTTAAGCAGCAGGCAGTCTTATGACTGTGACACTTTGCACCTATACAAAGTCACCAGCTGGCTGACTGGACAATGAAAGAAAAGCAGCACACTGATGGGGAGATCTCTCTTCTCCTGTCAACAAATTCACTGCCTGCATGCCGCAGAGCCTGATTGGCTCCTATTGCTGCCCCTTCCAGTTTGCTGCTGTGCAGAGGATTAAAGAAGGCTGATAGAACTTTAAAATACATATAATGTTTTGTTTAATAAATACCAGACTGCAATAATTATATCTGACTGGAGGCCAACTCTAAAGAAACTTCCCTTTTCAGAAAAAAAAGTGGGGGAAAAAAATCACAATTATATAAAAATGTCAGAAAAGACTGTAGCCGCTGCAAGACAGATACTGAAGAAAACCAAGCTAAGGACGCTGACAGTGAAATACACAGCAATGAATAAGCTGGAAATGGAAGTAATTCTCTGAAACAATGTAAAACAGATTGCATAATAACATATTTTGATTTTTTTTTTCCAACTCACTTGTGACCAATCTCATGTGCAATGGTAAATGCAGAACCCAAGCCAATGTCTTCATTAATGCTGCAACTCCGCTCCGGCTCACACATTCCAGCCACCGAGGCCAAGCCTAAATAAACAGAAGGAGACACAAAGGGTCAGGCCAAGGTGTTTCAGCCTTATAAATGCCTGGATTCTTTTTAATAACCTCCACATATAGAAGGAGCAGTTGGCAAAAGGTTAACTTTCGAGCCATTTACAAAATCACTGGGGGGAATTTCACTTTGCAGGCTAGACATTAATATTTTTTGAACTGCAGTCAGTGCTGGAAAATGTCTAGACTAGGGGTTAGATTTATAAATTTTACTTCTGGTAACTTGGGACCACCTAGTAACTTGAGCCAGAAGAGGGAATTCAACAAAGTATTTCTAGTTTAACATTCTTGAGGCAGCAAAAAGCAGAAAAAAAAAGAAAAAAGGAAGTATCCACATTATTTTCTGAGCAGATCTGTTTGAGTTTAGTGTGTTCAGAATTTTTTTTTCTTATATGTGTAGAATACTTTCAGAAGAAAAATAAAATACTGGACCCTGGGTAATAAGTTCTATGCGGTATGTGGAGTGTATACAATATATCTTATTTATTTTTAGTACACATTTTAATAGGAACTGCAGTCAATAGTAATACCCAAACTTTAAAAATGATCTACATCTAGCCATCTGGGGTAAGTCCTGATCTCTTGGGATTATTTCAAGTTCATCTAAAACTCAACTGGACAACATAAAGTACTCATATACATTTGCCCTTTTTATTACATAAAAAACAGTTTTCACCTTTTTCATAATTTTTGCATTTTAGTGCTGCTGATCTCCCGCAACGTTTTTGCATGCCATTCCTCTAGACCAGGTTCCTGATGGCCACAAGGGTGGACTGCGGCTATCCAAAGTGTGTAAGCAAGGTGCATGTGACAACATATATCTACTAAGTGACACTAAACTCAGGAGTTAAATCTTAGAAATGCATTCAAGTACCTTGGCTGTAGATCCTCAAATCATCTCTGAATTAGTGCTGACACTGTCCTTCCTTCTGGAGGGTAGCTACTTTTGTTCCCCATGGTCCCTGTGTGTGTTGTAAAGCAGCCACCACTCCAAACTTGCTCCCGTGATTGACAACAATCTCAATACACATTAGTAAACTAAATGTGAGATTCTAGACCATTATAGAAACGAACCTGAAGTGGTGGCTACTTTACAACACACACAGGGACCATGGGGAACAAAAGTATCCACCCTCCAGATGGAAGGACGGTGTCAGCATGAATTCAGGGAGGATTTGAGGATCTGTAGCTGAGTGATGCATACATTTGATTACATAGAGCAGCAAAGGATTAGTGCCTGTGTGAATATAAAAATATAGCATATACAACTGCTATGCAAGCCTTATTGTAATTTAATGTTGTTAATAAATATATTTCCATTTTACTCTGCAGCCACTGTAATTTTCTAAAACTGTCAACTGTCAAAAAAAATGCAATTTGGCAACCTGGAAGTGTACACTGATCGTTGGCATTTCCGGCTTTTGTAATTGGCTCGCAAACTTTCCCAGAAGGCTGCACGGGGATACAAGTTACATTTTAGACATCTCATGCAGTAGGAATGTCAGCTTTGGGGATATAATCCCTAAGGGTTAACTACTTGCAAGAAGGGATGCCGACACTGCAGCTTTCCTCATCAGAATACTGAAATTTCATGAGGTGGTTATAAGGCCCCTTTCACACGGGCTGATCAGGAGAGGATCCCTGTACAGACTGGCCTGGCCGTGTGAACGGGGCCTGATGAACAAGGTCCTTCCATTCAGGAATCAGTCTGAAAAGAACACGGTGAAACAAACAGCTTTTCTTCAGAACAGAAAAGGTAGGAATCTGAAGCAAAAATGGAGTTATACTTTAATTGCCATCTGTGTTGCTACTGGGGAGATTTTCCCCTTACTTCTTATCAGAACAGAAAATAATAGTAAATCTCTCATGCAGAAGTACAGAGAAAAACAGAAACACATTTTCAGTACAGTTGGAGCAGATAAGAACGTTGGACCACATGTAATTGTTATTAGCGTCTTCCAGTCCCAGTGACAACCTTGTTTTGTGTGAGGGGAAAGTCTCTCTAATGGGATCGTGGTCAAAAAGAAAAACCTGAACAAAAATGCATCTCTTCCCCACTTTATCCCCCCCAAAAAAGTTTGAAGTTAGACATTAAGTTAATAAGAATATCACAGCTGCTAAATATTCCTCTAAATTAAATATTGAAGATGCTGGCAAATAATTCTGTATTATATTAAAATGGCTCCTATGGCTCTGGACGAATGGCTGCTATTAACTGAGGGCCCATTCTGTTTCACTTTACATGCAATTGTCTAAAAATGATGTCAGTCCCACTTTAGCAATATACACTCAAAGTTCACAGCAAAAGCACTAAAGTAATTTAAGTCTTTCTATAAACAGCCCAGCTTACCCTGCCCCTTCTCCGAGAGCTCCTGATCTGTGTTACTAGTAGAGATTGGAAAGCTGCTGAGCTACTGCTAGGAGGGTAGAACAGGAGGAGATGAGCTTCTGGATGAAAGACATAAACAGCTTTAGTGCTGTATGTTGTAAACAATTGAGGATGAACTGCCTCACAGTGCCTGCAGCTACAGAGGTCACCAAGGACTTATTAAGGATATGTAAATATATGACTGTCCATAGCCTGGCCACAGATTTGGATTAAGAATAAGAAGTATTTATGGAATATGGCTGATAGTGTCATCTCAGTAAAAAAAGAAAAAAATATTGGGTATTTGTTATTATATTACCTTCTTAGTCCTCTCTCCAAAGCTATGGTGAAAGAGGCCATCTTACTTTTAAAACTACTAGAATATCTCTGGAATCTGCCCTTTCATTTGCATAGACTGACGCTGGCATGAGAGTAGCCTGCGTCAGAAGAGGGAGAGGTAAGAGACAGATAAAAGAAGAGTGAAGAGACAGATAAAAAGGCAAATTACTAAAAAAAAAATATTTTTTCTTCAAGCAGCGGCAGATCTATAATATGATAAATTATAGTAGTGTCATATCTCAGTCTAATGTATGCTGCTGTAATCTTCTGTCTGAAATTGGATGCAATAATTTTGTGGGCTAAACACATTATTTTAAAATGACTTTAGGGGGGTAAACATAAATCCATAAATTCAAGTCATGTGACTGATGAGAGGATCACTTGAGAAAATTGGGTGATGTGGGGATTCAACTCACAAGTAAACTACACTGTTAGCAATATTTCAATGAGTTTAAAGCTGGCACTCCTTGGAAAGGGAATCATGTACACCAAGTCCTTGTGTGGATGATGGCCTGCGGATCGCTTGTATGGGGTAACGATCGGTGTATCGGTCTGCTCACCTTTTCATAGAATGTTAGTAGGTTGATCTGACAAGAACGGTCCTTCATAAATCCTTGTTTATTATCACGTGCCTTGAACAAAATCTACTAAATAGTCCTTTATCATTCCCTCAAAAAGTTTGCATACTATTGATGTTAGACTGACTGGTCTGTAGTCCCCAGGTTGCCATCTTGAACCGTTTTTGTATATTGGTACTACCGTAGCTTTACGCCAATCACTTGGTTCTTTTCCAGTCAGTATGGAGTCATTGACAATGAGGTATAATGATCTCGCTCTAACCTGACTGAATTCTTTAAGTACCCTAAGGTGCAGGTTATCCGGCCCTAACAATTTATTTGCATTAAGTTTTTCAAGTCTTTGTTGAACCTCGGCTACCGTCAACCACTGCAGTATATTACACACTTCTTATCTCCATTAAACCTGTCTTTTTCCTGAGTGTATACCAAGGAGAAAAAATAATTTAATACCTTCTCCCTGTCGTTTGTGATTAATCTCCAATTCTCATCTTTTATTGGGCCTACCTACTCCTTTGTTACCTTGTTACTGTTTATATATTGGAAGAATTTTTGGGGGTTCTTCTTAGACTGTGGTAATGTTTTTCGTAATCTATTTTAGCTGCCCCAATTTCATGTTTACATCTCTTATTGCATTCCTTGTAGCTCTGGAATGCTAATGAAGTCCCCTTCATCTTACATTTTCTAAATGCCAGCTTCTTCTCTTTGATGTGTTGTCTTACCGTTTTATTTAGCCATGCAGGCTTAGCTCTCGAGCTTATATTTTTGTTACCCAATAGAATGCACTTGGTAATAGCCTTGTGCAATGTATTCTTAAAACAATCTCTCTTCTCATCAGTGTTCATTGTTAAAAATAAGTTGTTCCCATTTAGTGTCATACACTAGATCAGGGCTCAAAATTTCCACTCGCCTGCTCGCATTTTGCGAGCAAAAATAAGGTGAGTGGAAATTTGGGTCTCCAAGTACCGTCCCGCCCACTCCGCTGGGTTCGTCGGCTGTAAACGGGAGAGGCAGAGCGTGCGAGAGGGAGGTAATGTTTTGCCCATCATCGTACGATCGCGGGATCACCCACAACTATCGTACGATAATCGCCAGGTGTATGGCCACCTTTAGTGTATGTGTATATTAGGCCCCATTCACACCTACAGTATATTTCAGGTGTGATTACAGATTCCTGTGTCAGGAACTTGCGTTTTCCTGTAGCAGGATTCCCTAATCTGCCGTTTACAAGCGGCAACTATAATAAGATAAGAATTATCATAAGATTATGTAAGAGGGTGTGTTAGGGGCGGAGTTAAGGCCAGGGCAGGGTAAGGGTTAGGTGGGGCAACTGGTGGCTAGTGACTCTTAAGGCCTGGCTAGTAGTTCAGGACTTGACATTTTGAGCCCTGCACTAGATGACGCAGCTAATCGAAGTTTGCCTTTTTGAAATTTAGAGTATTAGTCACAAAAGGGTGAAGAGTTTGGAGAAGGCAGGATAAAGGAACAGTCTAGGATCCATAGGTTCGCCACCGCTGGTCTAGGACAACATAGCTGAACTGGAAAGTGAGCTGAATTGGAGAATTTTTCCAAATCCGCTATGTTGTCCTAGATTGTTCACTTCTCCTGCCCTCTCCAAACTCCTTGTATCCCTAATTGCTATGTCTGCAACAGGTCCGCATTATTGGAAATTATTAAATCTAGTATAGCATTCTTCCTTTTTGCTGGTAAAAAAGCAATCTTCATTTAATCAGTTAAATAGATTCACTTCCTACATTTAGAATTGTTGACCGGGATGACTAAATTTTCCTGCTATGATCAACAGATAAGTCCCAGGGTTGAAGTAAAAGGAAAAGTGCAGGAGACAGCAGTGAGCCAATCACATGGGCATAAAATTAAATTTCAGGCGGAATTCTTTACACAAGGGAGGAACAAGGTAATGTTTTAATTCCTTTCCTTATTGGTTTTAGATTGAACCAGAAAGGTAACATTTTTTAATAAACGATTACAAAATATGCTGGTATAGCAATTATGTATATAATTTTTAACAGTGGAGTTACCTTTTTCAATGACAGAAAGAAAGAAAACAGCAGCACACAAAGCTACGAGTAACCTTTTTACCAGACATAACTTTAGCTTTAAAGTTCATAAATATAGGACATACATACAAATAAAATAAGAAATATGCAGCTTAGTTGGTCTCAAGTTCAGAAACAACTGAACTAATTTGATTTACACGCTAAGTTTAATCAAACAAAAAAATGGGACAGCTATATTTTACAGCAGAAGCAAATGTCAGGACCATAGATTTATATTTAGTGTGTCTTGCTTCCTGGAAAAATACACACTTGGAAGAGAACGTTCCCAAAGGACAAGTGAACTCCTCCATCACAGAATACCTGAATGGCCCCAGGACAAAGTTAGGCAATGCCATGATTGTTCAGCACTTGGAATAAACTCTTAAGGAATCAGTGCATGATCTGATTGGCATGTACTATGCTTCCTGTTGAAGGAATCTGTGATTTGTTATAGGCTGGCATATGAAGAAAAGATATTCAGAGGTCCTAGAAAGTCAGCAAGTTGTAATGTATGCTCTACCAAGGTTATACTCCCATAAAAGGTTCATCTGTATAACCAGATTAGGTGAAGTGTATGCCTTACCTAAATAACAGGCTTGTTAGGCATTAAAGTACAGCTGTGCTAAGACAATGGGCACAACATTATTTACATTCTTAACAAGCAGTAAAAGAGCTTTAAAAATGACCTCCCAAGCTGCTTGTTCTGTGAAGTTAATAAATCTCATAAGTCTTCAAAGATCCCAACAAAGACAAAGTTGGTTTTTAGTCTCTAGCAGCTTAAACGTATCGGGTGTGAGTTTACAGTATAAGGTTGGCAGGCTGCCAATATTCTGCTTCCACAGAAAATAGCTAAGCTTTCACATCCTCTGTTGCGAAATGTGAAGATGAAATTGATTCACAATGCCTATATAACTACAGAGATGAATAGATGATTGTTTTAATGTGTTATTCTATGTTGCTAAGAATATGCAAATACTTTAATGTGCATAGTTTGGGCACATTTTCATTTTTTTAGGTGAACTACACCCTGGATAAAAAAACAAAAATCAAAACAATACAGAATGTTAAGATGTGAGCATTTTATATTTTGCCTTTGCTTATAACATGCAGCAAAAACTAAGCCAAAAAAGAAAGAAAAAAAAACATTTACCCAATAACAACAGGGACTATACAGCAGAAGCACTAATCTATAGACAGAGTTTGTTTTCTGCTACAAGCCCAAAAATTTATAAGAAGTTATTTATTATGTCAATGTATCCAAAAAACAAAAGGTGGCTTTAGGAAAGCTGTTTTTCTAATCATCAGTGCATTCCCCTATTCTCCCCCAATGTGATCACAAAATATGGACAAGGATTTCGCTTCGCCTCCTTTTCCAAACTGCTTTCAAGATGTAATAGCTCCTTTGAACATAATATAAAGCAGGGAATCTTTCCACCACCACAATGAGTAACCTAAACCTAACCCTAGTTCTATTCCTTACTTTAACCCCCATTCTGACACTAGCCTTAACTGCATTTCAGAGCAAGACTCAGTTAAGAGAATAACTTTTCTTTCATACTAGAACATGTATTGTTCAGGCAACAATTAATAAACAGTGAGGGGAATGTTTGCAAATCTTGGCTGAACAAACTGAAAAGAGAAGCTGACTGGTTGGAAGCTTCTCTGGAGTGGAAATACACTTTAAGAATTAGGTTTTTGCATAATATATTCAGGCATCCCAAGCTGAAAAATTCATTTCAGGGGGGTGCCCCTACCTTCTCCGCGGGGAGACCTTTCCGGGATAAAATGCTTCTCACCCGGGCGTCCAGGAACCGCTATCTTATAGCGGGAAACTCCCGGAAAGTCCGGGAGAGTTGAGATGTCTGTATATTCCAGTAGCCCCTCAGGACCCCAACACCAGCTGCGTCACCAGGCCGGGTGTCACCCAGTGCTGCCGTTGGGTGTTACCTGGTGCACACATCACTTCGTATACACTTGATGTCATTAAGCACGCGCATAATGACATCACATGCACTTCACTGTCAGTGGCGACCCGGCGGAATAAGGTATGCCACTGGGTCCCCTCCTCTCTCGTGCAGCTGTCGGGCTCTCGGTCCATGACCAATTGCCCGACTTTTCAGAGGGGGCAACCCCCTCTGATGGTTCGCCACCGCTGGTCTAGGACAACATAGCTGAACTGGAAAGTGAGCTGAATTGGAGAATTTTTCCATCCTGAGGCAATGATGGTGTCACTCGATGCGGGCCGCACCCCCCACACCTCCCTTGTGATGCCTCTTTCTAACACTTTCTTGTAGTTTCTGCTGTTCCTGAGGCAATGACTAACTTTATAAAGCCAACAAAATGAAGGTCCTTTTATTGTCCAAAGAAAATGCAATGCTCTATTTGATTGGGGCTCATCAGTGTAACAGAAGAGGTATTTTATAGTTTCAACTCAACATAGTAATTTGTTTTATCCATACTAAAGAAAGAATATTTTTCCAGCTGCTCATGGAAATCTATTTTTTATTTTCATGTCAATAAGGACCCTCGAAGGGAAAAATTCCTTTGAAGCATTTTAGATATAGGAATATATAAACCTATTAAATCATGTGCATGACAAGTGGTATATCAGGATAAATTGGTCAACCCAAGCATTTGTTATTGTGGTGTTCTGAAGTACTCAAGACACTTACCCAGAGTGCCACAAGGCTTGTTTTTGTACGTACAGATGTCATACCTGTTAAAACATAAGTGATGTAACAATTACTAAACTGCAGGGGAAATATTAAAACAACTATATAGCTACAAAAGAAGCAGCATGTACACATATCTCACAAGTGAACTAAACATCTGGCTCTGCTCACACCTGATGTTTATGGCCTAGACACGGCACAGACTCTCACAAGAGGGAGCTGTTCTCTACTGAAGTAGTTACATTCCATAATGAGAAAGTAATTTTTATATTCTTGCAACACTTATGGAAATCCACAAATCCTTATTTGTGGCATATACATGTAATTTTATTAATTATATGGTAGATGATAGAAGTACTTTAGGACTCAAAAGCGTGTAACATGTTTTTTGCCTTTGGTTTTCTCATGAATATACATTGCATTAAAGTGACATTAAACCCTCAGATTTTTTAGCATAAACCAATACTGTAATGTGTGCCTTACTGTAATCCATGGTTGTTTCCCTTCTCTTTGCTGCTCTTCCTTTTAAATCTGTATCTCTTCTCATGCTGGGCAGAACTTCTGTTTTGCAGCAGACTGCCTTGTCTCTGAAATGGATAAATGGTGTCTGTGTGAAGGTTCACAACCTGAGCCAGCACTACAGGAAGAGGCACTCAGCTGCAAAGGGAAGTTCTCCCCCAGCATGAGAAGAGATACAGATTTAAAAGGAAGAGCAGCAAAGAGAAGGGAAACTACCATGGATTACAGTAAGGCACACATTACAGTATTAGTTTATGTTAAAAAATCTGAGGGTTTAATTCAACTTTAAGTTACATAGTTTTTCCTGCAATCATTACACAATGGTGTATACTATACAACAATACAGTAAAAGTATACTATGCAAGATATGAGTACAGCCACACAGAACACAATTAAATTGTACTATGTAAACCCCACTCATTTGCTCCCCTTTGGTCTGTAAAATATACAGCTGAAACCATTTTGTTATATTTGATCAATAAGTGCAAAAAAAAACCAAAACCAATAAATAAATCCCTCTTGATCTTGTCAGAAATTCAGAGCTGCCTCCTGTCCTGCACTCTTTTTTGACATCCCAGGGAGTCTAAATAGCCCTCCTAATTATTTTCTTGGACTATAGAATAACTAGTTCATATATTGTGAAGATGAATAGTGGGAGGATTTCAGAAATTTAGCAAAAGACAACTGGACAAGGCTGACACCATTTAGTCCAAGAAAAATGCTGTGTGTTGTCAGCCCACAGCAAGAAATTACGAGTGGACTTCTCACAGATCATCAGATATTATTTGGTACTTGCAGAATATTTAAAGGGATAAAACATGGAGAGATGTGAATGAATTACAGACATGTACTGCATATTATCTTTTTTTACTTTTTCCCTGAAACACTTTAAAGCCCATTCCCACTTTTGCAGAGGTATTTTTTAAAAACATATGCCAGCAACGTACACCAAGTACATGAAGCAGGAATATGCAGCTGATGTATATGAAAACTGAAACTTAAATTTTTTGTTAGCTTTCCTCTTCATATCCGCATGGAAATTTCTGCCTCTGTACTGCGCAAATAATGTGAAAATATCCACCACCAGCCCCCCCCCCTTCCCTGGACAGTGTATTGTGTGTAAAGGCAGAGCTAGTGTTTACTGATCATGTTACAATGGGTGACAGGGAGGGGGGCAGCTGATTAGAGTCTGACACCGTGGTGTCTGACTGAATTTCCTGTGGAGAAAATTTAGAATTTCTTTGTTTCAGGCCTAATAAAACCTTCATTAAAAAATGAAGAAAGCCTGCAATGTGAGTCATGAAAATGTGCATATGAATACATCATCACTGAACCTACATAATTAATGCTAATCACTTACAAAGGTGGAAATTAACTTTAAGTTTACTGTATGGGGTGCATCCAAGAGAAACTTCCAGAAAATATGGCATGTATAATCCCTTCATTAATGTGCACCTTCAATTGACACCTTTCAAAATAAAGCATTTAGAGAAAGGTCATAGCCCTGTGAGGTGATTGGTTTGAAACCTAATTTTTATGCTGAATTTCTTTTTAAAATAACAAGTGACATCATTTAAATGTTGGCAGAAATATATATATATATATATAAATATATATATATATATATATACACACACACACTGTATACATACAGTATATATACATATACACACATGCACAAATATTTTACAAACAGAAAACAATCACACTTGCTTTGGATCAATAAAATACAACCATTCATATACTATAATATATATCCCTCCATCTGTACATTTCTAATACTGTCTCGTGTGAATAAGACTCAAAAATTAGACAAGCAGACTAATGTAATTTCAAGTCAACTCCACTTACTGCCAAAGTAAACCAAGTTAGCGTAGATCTATGTGTTGAGTACGTCAATGTGTATATGTGAGTACAGGTGAGCGAGACTGGGTGTAGGTTTCACTATACCTAGCCAGCTTCACTGAGAACTCACTATTCGGCATAATTAACCTTAAGCTATAAAACAGACTGGAGAGAGCTAAACAATAGGAGCATGGCAGCGACCCCTGTCATTCCAGAAAAAAAAATTTTAATTTGAGGGCACGGACTTCGCTGCTCGAGAATTTGAAGACAGGTTTTCCAAACTGCCCTGTATATTGGTACGCTATAAAACACTTGGAAGGAGTTTGCATTATTTTGTTAGTGTGTAACATATCTGGTCACAGTTGTGTACTGGAGTTCCAATGGTCAAACCACAAATCAGTTTAATTATGTGCCAGCAACTGGAGTGTCGGCGTTTTCAGCAAGCCGGTGTAAACCGCAGGCTACAAAATGCTTACAGAGTGTGGACAAAAGCCAAATGGATACGGGCCAGCATAAAAAAAAAAATAAGCTAGGCTAGATCTCTATAATGACCTGCCGCTTAGAAAAAAAGCTTTTCTTCGGATTTTAACCATGTTATATACTCAGCTACCCATTGACCACAACAAAAAAAACTCTCTGAGGGCTCTTTTATTTCAGGCAGGCATGTTCAATAACAAAGGGCAAATTAGATAGAATAAAGTCTATTACCAACTCTAGTTACAAACAAAAAAAATCTCACAGATGAACTAACAAACTATCAGTGTAAGTCCACTTGGTATTTCAATTTCCTGCACCTGCTTCTACTCACAGTTTTTTGTGTCCAGTTGTATGTGGGTGTGTTCCGATGGAATAACGTCACATAGTCTGCAAATGTAAGCAAGCACTGTCCAAAAAGCAGACAGTAAAATGTCCTGGGCAGTACTTTGAGAGTATACTGGACCAAAATTGAATGTCTTTGAAACATAATGGAGATTAAAGCTTTCCTGTAATATATTGCAGCTTGAAGACCTTAGAAGTGTTGGCTGCATTAGTTTTCATTTTTCAGACACGTACCTTTATTTTAAAAGAGAACTATGGGGTAAGTGTTTTTCCCCATAGTTCTCTTAAGGGTCATGGGAGGACATATACTAGCGTCCTCCCGTGACCCAAAGCTCAGTATATAGTGAGCTACAGCTCACGGTATACTGAGATCGCCGCAGCTGGGACGGATCCCGACATTACTGTCAAGATCCACCCAGCTGCGTGAGTGACAGCTGGATCTGCCCCCTCCCTCGTCCGTTCCTCCAGTCAGCACTGGAGGATCGGAGCGGGAAAGGGGGGAATCCCTGCAGAGAGCCGTGACTGATAGTCACGGCTCTCTGCAGGTAGATGATTGAGAAGTGAGCGAGCGACGGTGTTTGCTCACTTCACGATCTATTGAGCCGACGTGTGACAGTCTCATTGTCACACGTCAGCTCGAACTATGAGGATGAGTTATTTTCACTCACCTCATAGTTCTCCTTTAACTAGGTCTAAGCAAACTAACCTGTAGACTCATAAAGCTTGTGACATGCTCAGTGATCCCAGACTATTACATGCAAAGTTTGAAAATGACTTGCTAAACTATTGCAGACTTCCTTCCAGCCAAGCTTCACAAAGGCAGAGCCAGCTGTACCCGCCCCCTCCCCTGTCCGTAAAATGACAGCCAGCATTCCCTTGGGGGCGTGGCAGGGGTGTGTCGATTGCCTAAATACATTTTACTGGAAGGTGTCCCTCTTCTCATCTGAGAAAGTTGGGATACATGTGTGCCCAAGGACTAAGTCTCAGCCAGCAGAACAGTAGTATATTTTCAAGGAATTGCCCTTATCGAGTGCTTCTTTGCTAGTTACAGTGGATGAGTGGTTTGATACTTGTTCTCTCAGCTTTGCCTTTTTTCTATAAATGTCCAGAAGTTGGTACTCTTATAGATGAGCATGGCACCACCCTTTGATAATGTTCTGTGGTTTTTATTTTTGTTTAAGTGGAAATTTGTGGATCACCTGTTTTCAGTGCATGCCTCGCTGTGTAGAGGTCACTGTAATCATTATGGGTTCTTAGCTAAGTCCTTGACTTGAAATACATAGACAAGTATGTTATGTCTAGAAATAAATGCTTCCCCCCTTGGAGCACACTTTTATCTCAATATCTTTTGTGCTAATAGGTTTCAGAAAGAACATGAATGTTTGTAGATTTTAGCATCTGCGGTACTGACGTTCTCCGATGATGTGATCGTGTAGTGTTCATAACATGACAATGTGGCAACCAACACTGATGCCTACACACCTGAACATGATTCATGCACCGCTATTTGGTACAGTAACAATCAACCACAAACCACAATTGAACTTCTTACAAAACTAATAATCATAGTGCCTTCTATAACATGCATAAACATTACAATGGAAAGTATCACTTAAAACTGATTCTTTAGATGAAGATTTAAAATAAAACAAAAGAAGCACAAATCTGTCAAAAGTGACATATTTTGGTTTTTCTTATGAGCTATGTATCACAGTAATGAAGTAATGTAAATGTCTCTGTTTACTGGCATGCATGAACACCATAGAACAGTACTATAAAATGTATTTTATGTTGTGTTATTGTTTTTTTATAAGTAGTAGGGATGCACTGATACTGTTTTTTTCTGTATCAAGTACCAGTA